ACGCATCTGTACAGACATCTGCAGTTCCTTTGGCTGTGGCCGTACTTCTGGCATCTATGGCATTGCGGGATTTGGTTTTTGATCTGTCTTTGGGCCTCAATTCTTACTATGTAACTACAGCCGTCCTTGATTTCCTATAGGATTTCATCCTATGGACGGTTTTGATTTCAAGCCCTTTGTTTTTCAGATCGTCTTCTATTTCTGGAATCTCCACACTCATATCGATTCCCCTCATCACTACACTCAGTAGTTTGTCTTCGGGGAGCGAATAAGTATGGTATTCATGTTTGTCCTGTTCTAGGATTTTGGTGGTGGTTCGGTACTCATTGGCGTTGTTGGTTTGAATTCTCAAACCTCCTCTCATGAGTTTTACTAATGGAACTTTAATTCCATTGGATTCTAGTTTTCTCTTAACCGTGGTCCATTCTCCCGGTGTTTTTAGCACAATCGGGGGAACTGCGGTTTTTTTGGCTGGCTCGTCGTTGCCTTTTTGGGGGGTGGGGGCTGCGGTTGAGGTCGAAGCTTCTGGGGGAGGGCTTGATGAGGCTTTCCTCTTTAGTTCCTTCTGTTTTTCTTCCTCGATTTCCATTTTTTCCGGTATGGAAATTAAGGTTTTCGGGGCGGGGGGGGGGGGGGTTTGAGGAGGAGGGGTGGTTTCCTTGGTTGTTGGTACTGCCTTGGCAGTCTGTTCTTGGATCATGCTTGCTAAGGCATTAAAGGTTTCCGCCGCTCCCTCTTCTCCGGCTTTCGTGCACTCTTGTGCTTTGATTTTAGCTTGTTTAGCTAACATGTGCATGTCTGCTGAGTTTTCAAGGTCTTTCCTCAGCTGTTCAATTGTTTTCGTTAGGTTTTCGATCAATTTTTGCTGCTGCTCATTTTGGCTTCTCAGCGATTGAATTAGGGAATTGAAATTTGTCTCTCGGGCTGCCTTGGTTTTTCCCGAGTTTCTGCCCAATTTTACAGCTGTTTTCTTCTTCGCCTTGCTGCTGGGGTTGTTTTTGTCGACAAACATGTCGCTACCTGGCACAATGGGCGACATATTTATCTATTAGTGTGTTCGATTCTATAATTGTTCTTCCTCCCTAGGGTTTGCCTTGCATGGCTGTCCCCTTGGGAGAATATTTTTATTGTTTACGAATTCTATTGAGGGATAGGGGTTGTTTCCTTACCAATTTTCTCTGCTAGGCTCGGATCAGGCCGAGTCTTGATGTGGAAGCCCTTGTGTAGGGGCACTACGGTTAAAGACAGTCTCTAATAACTCAAAGTGAGTTATCGAGTGCTGACTTTGCCGTACCTTGCTTTCCACACCTAGACACGTAGACAAGATCTAACTGCTGGTTTTGAGGCCTTATAGCCGCCTGAAAGGCCGGCAGGCTATAAGATTTCAAAGTCGCTGCTTTTCTCTGAAATAAATACAATGTTAGCAAATATAAAAAGAAAAATAATGTACTGAAATTATCGGGGGTAATACCACAAGAGCTCAGATTTAGCCGGATATTTTTTGTGGTTGTTTTCGAATACTTACTTTCATTGGCAATTTAACGAGAGCTGTTCTGATCGAATAGATCGAGTTAAATTACCTATATGAAAGTAAGTATGAGAAAACCACCGTAAAAAATATCCTGCTAGATCTGAGCTCGCGTGGTATTTGGTAAGACAATTCCATGAATAGAAAACTCAATTCAATTAAACTTTATTTAACCAACTAAAAGAACAACAAGTAAAAGAATAATGTTCAGAAAGAACAGTTGTTAAAAACACAATTATTATATACAATTGGTTCAGTAGACATTTGCTCCTTTACTGATGTAGATTTTGTGTTTGACATTGACATGGATGTGGACACTATGGCTGATTCATTATCCAAAGCTTTATTTCGAAGATTTGTTACAAGATGCGAATGATGCTCATTATCAAGTTGTAAATAAGGCTTTATGAACTTGGAAGAGGAATGTCCAGTTATTTTTATCAATTCTTGTTCATTGATACCTGCTTTAGCTAGAGTTGACACGGCGCTTCAGCGATGAGAATGATTAGAAATTTTTTTATTCTTTGTATCCAGTCCAATTTTTTCAGCTGAAATTTTCGTCCACTTGAGAATTTCGTTGACTCCTATAGGAACATTTTTGTACCAACTTTTCGGTGAATTACTTTTCCAAAACGGATTGGGGGTTATAAATAATCTATCAGTTGTAATATGGTTCGGTCTATGTGATAATATTTTATAAAACAATGTTACTGTGCATATGCTTGGGTTTTCTATGTTTTTTATTAGCCATTTACTGTCGCAGCATTTGTTTGAGCCGCCCTGACATGTTTTGGAAAAAACTGTATTATATTCAATGCGGCCAGTAAAATCACCATTATTTGATTTTTCTTCTTTAAAATAGTGTACTACACATTTTGCAGCTTCACCTCCTCGCCAAGCTAATTCATATGCAGCGATATGAAAAAATCTTTTTAAAAGACCTATATAACTATTTTCTAAATTACCTTGTGAGTTCTTTCGCTTAGAATTACGTGCATCACGGGATTTCTTGAATGCCAAATCAGTGAAAGGATTGAAAATAACATTAAATTTTTCGAAATACATGCTTTGCAACATCTTCGCTGTTGTGTTCCACATTGTTTTCACCACGTATTCTTTATAATCTTCCCCATTCTGTTTCTTCATATTAAAGCCCCAGTCCATCAATATTCCTGCCACATTTTCCACTGACTGTTCGGTTTCCAAATTGAAGTTTCGTTGTTTACAAAATTCGCTGAATTGATTCCAAATGGAGGATTGACTTTTTTTTGTATTTTCTGGAGTTGATTTTTCAATCTCCCTCACTATTTCTGCCTCGCAAATGTTTCCAAATCTCGACATACTCACTGGAATATTATTTGCTGATTAATTCTGTTTTTGACATTTACAATTGTCAAACTGATGCGACGCGCAATAACGCTTGATGAACGAACAGTAAATACTAGCGTTGCTACGGTAACGTAATTTATCCGATTTTTTCATCCACTTGCATTTCTGTTCCTTCATATTTAGCCGATAGCAAACTACGACTTTTGTACTCGCAAATGGAAATTATTATACATGAGTGGAATTGTCGGTATTTAATTGGGCTGGCTCAGTTATTGACCGGTCGGCCCAATCGTTAATACACTATAATGACAGTAACGCTGCTTTCCCTGAAATAAATACAATGTTAGTAAATATTCAAAGAAAAAATAAATGTATTGGAATTATCGGTATTTAATTGGGCTGGCACAGTTATTGAGGTGTACTATTTTGTAATACTCCGGTTGGTCCCCTATTTATTATATAATTTGTATGCAAAATGGCTTCCCCCCACAAATATTTCGGTACCCCTGATTCATTTATGATGGACCTAGCTCCTTTAACTAGAGTTCTATTTTTTCTTTCAGCCTTTCCGTTCTGTTTAGGAGTATGAGGTACAGTATAATCCAAGATCACCCCATTATCTTAACAGAAATCTCTCAAACTTGTAGAAACATATTCTCCCCCATTATCACATCTTAGTTTTGATATTTTAACCTTAAACATTGCTTCAGCTATTGCGAAAAATTCTTTAAATTTCAAAAATGCCTCACTCTTTTGTTTTAATAAGTACACTATGGTAAAGTTGGAAAAATCATCAATAAATGTTATGAAGTACTTACATCTATCATGTGTTATTGGTCCACAAATGTCGCTATGAATGATTCCTAGCAATCTTTTGCTCCTCTGACGTGTTTGAAATTGCTGTCTGCACATCTTACCTGCTGCACAAGGTTCGCAAAACTCAATCTCAGAAATTTGAGTATTTTCTAGACCATCTACAAGCTTTTGTTTAATTACTTTTTTGAGATCTGAGAAATTCAAGTGAACAAACCTACTATGCCACTGTAAAAAATCATTTGAATTCAATCCAACATTTTGACATTGATATTTGACAAGTTCAAAATTCATTTCATATAAACCATTTCTTTTTCCTAAACCTACAATGCCTTTGTTATTTATAAGTTTCACAATCCCATCCTCAAATACAATTTTCACCCCAGACATTTATAACCTCTTAACGCTTAACAAATTCTTCCTCAAATTTGGGACATAATGAAAAATTTTTATTTTGCAATCAATTCTCTTGTTACCAACAATACTTATAACATCAAGATTTCCAACTCCAACAACAAGTAAATAATTGCCATTTCTAGCAATAGCAATTTTAATAGGAGTCTCTAACTTCACAATGTCCGAGAACACATTTTCATCATTTACCAAGTGGTCAGTACACCCAGAATCTATGAAAAACATTATACTATTTTCTTTGCAGTCTGTATATAAAACTTCAGTTGTGCCACCAAAAAAGGAGACTTGATACACATCTTCACATATTTCGCTCACCTAACTGTCTGCTGGTTGTTGTTCGGTGTAGTTAATTCTACTACCTGTATAATTGTTACCACTGTTACCTCCACCTATTCTTCCTCTGTAGTTACCTCCGATATTCCAATATTGTCCACATCAGATACGCAGTTTTTTGATCCCTCAATGTTTCTATATGTCGATCAGAAACACATTGGACAATCAATGATTTGGCCTTGTTATCATTTTTCACAAAATTTTTCTTCCCTGTTTCATCCAAAATATCTACGTTCATATTCTTTTCTATATAAGCTGTGACACCATGCTCTGCTAACACCATTTGCATTCTGAACTTTCAATTTAAATAATTCTCGTTCGATAAAACTTCAATATTATGAATATTATACTTTCCTGCATGCGCCATGCTAACTCAGTTATGTATTCTGTATTTCCCTTTTGATGAATCCTTTTATTCCTTGAGCATCCGTCTTGCTGGGCCCATAACCTTTTGATTTTTGTGCAAATTAACTTTCAATTCCTCATTTTCTTATAGTATTTTCGATAAATAAAACACTATATCGATACCATGCTGTGCTTTTTATTCCCATTATATTTACTTGTACTACAAAACCAAAGATGATCAACCATACACCGCAAAAGTATTCTGTCGTCTTATATATAGTTCCATCCACATCAAATCAACTTCATATGTCACCACACTGACATGTTGACAACCTATCAATACCAACCTAAATATCTCTGGGATTTTAGTGTTACATTCAACACTTTGCACTTCAATAATAGCTCCAGACATTGAGGTACCACTAGGCTGCAACAACTTTTTTGATGGGTAGTTTTCAGAAGGAGCATTTTCATTTTTATTTGATGGCTTCAGAATATTTTCTTGGGCCTGTTTCATGACTTCTCCGGATACTGTTACTTTTTGGGTAACAAGGTTAATAACCAATTTTTTTGATCTCTCAGCTACAATGTCTGAAGAAAATGAAACAGTTTTAAATCTAGGGTCCCAGAATGTTGAGATTAGTAACATATTGCTACTCTCCAAATCTCCCAAACGATCTTTAATACTTTGTAACATCGCATTTACCATAGTTTGGACCAAGGCAAAATCTTGAGTTTCCATTTCTCTCAAAATGCTCTCCAATCCCTTAGTAAGTACTATTACTGAAGATAATGTCACATAGTTTTGACCACTCATGATATTCTTAACTGCCTCTAACGGCTCCAAAACTTTTTTAATATCAGTCAACATCTTCCACTCTTCAACTACTATTACTGGAAACTTATCACTATCCAAGAGTGCCAAAGTTGACCTCACTGGTTCTTCCAGTTCTAAGAACCTTTCAATCATGTAGACTGTTGAATTCCACCTCGTACGAACATCTTGAATTAATTTTTTGGGGTTTTTCCCATTTTTATCTGTATCTCATTTAATTTTATTGTTGATTTTGTACTTCTCTTGAAGTGGCTAACGAGTTTTCTCAATTTTTTCACCAGATCATCCACTAAAACAATGCAATCTTGAGAAATAAGGTTGATAGTATGAGCAAAGCAGCCAAAATGTTTCCATTTGAGCTCATCCCTAATTGCTTTTCGAATATTGGCGGAGTTTAACTGGAAGTTGTTCTCTTCAATATAGTGTATTGTGACAGCAATGAAACTTTCGGTGTTTATCGAAGTCCAATGATCCGTCGTAAGTGTAACACTTCTAACATCTTTGAGAAGTGACTTCACATTATCCAAGGTTTCTTCAAACATTGCAGGTAAAAGCGTATGGGTAAGTGTTTTCCTTGTTGGTATTGAATAATTGGGATTAAGAATATTCACGAACTCCCAAAATCCTTCATCCTCTACAATACCGAAAGGCTGATAGTCTTTGAAGAATAATTTCATCAACTGTCTGTCGATTTTATTCTTCGCGACAACTCCAATTTTCTTGGGAATGTTCAATTCAGTTTGAACTGATACCTTTTTCTTGATGAGAAGTGCTTCCGGTGTACCGGTACTACCGGTAGTCATTTCAGACGTAGCCGATGACGCCGCCGCTGCTATTTTCGTATGTTTTTTTTCTACCGCCCCAACATCCACTGAGTCTCAGTCAGTAGTATTCACCTGTACAAGACTTTTTTTCCACCCACTACAGGGTGTACGAAAAAAATAAAGTCGAATAAAATAAAATGAATTGTGTTAAAATGATATTTTATTTGATCTGATGTTCAAAATGCATTCCATTCTGTTTAGAGCAATAGTATAATCGATGTTCAAATGCCATTCTAACATTTTGGAACACATCTCTTGGAATATATCGGCATTCTGCATTTTATTTTATTCGACATTATGTTTTCCGTTCACCCTGTAGTAGGTGGAAAAAAAGTCTTGTTCAGGTGAATACTACTGACTGAGACCGTTCATTTGAGGTATCACAAAAGAGGTAGTGCCATTTGACATTTCAAAGTTGGGGAGTGGTGTGCTGACAGGGTGACTCATCCCTTCACTGAAATATGGTGGTTCTAGTTCCCCTTAACTCTTTAACATTTTTGCCAAGCGGCGTTTTTCTAACTTTTTCATTTCGCGAGATATTCGCATTGAAGACCTCAATAGCAGAACCAAGTAAATATTTTGAATTCGCAATAGTGCAATAATGTATTACCAATTAATTACTAATTTATGACCGCATTCCCGAATTTATTACTCATCATTTGATGGAAAAGACCAATGGCTCTGACAGGTTTACATCAACATAGCAGAACCACAGCACCAAACATTTTTTTCCTCAAATGTAATATGTGTACCGTAATTCATTACTCTTTTATTACAAATTCATTGCCACATTTGCGATTTTTCATCTTTCCATTTGAAGGAAAAAAATGGGAAATGTCTGTGTTTCTTTAACAATCTCGCAGAACCAAAAGTCTAAACTGATTTATTTCTAATCAATTACCACATTCTCGAATAATATAACTAATCATCATATTCAGGAATTCATCACTCATCATTTAATTAAAAAAAATTCAATGGCTCTGCCAGGTTCATAACAACCTAACACAGCACAACGATTTTCGTCTTTGAATTAGAAGTGAAGAAAAAAAGCGGTTGTGGTAATGAATCAGTAATAAAAGAGTAATAAATAATGGTACATTTTGAGTTTGAGTAAAAAAAAACATGTTTCATGTTGTGGTTCTGCTAGGTTAATATACACCTGGTAGAGCTGTTGGTTTTTTCCATTGAATGATGAGTAATGTATTCGCGAATGTGGTGATTGATTAGTAATGAATTAGTAACAAATTATGAACTCACTGAAATTTCAAAAAATATCTGTTTAGACGTTTGGTTCTGCTAGGTTGATATAGAGACACAGACATTTGCGAATTTTTCCCTCAAATGGAAAGTTAAAAAATCGCCAATGTGGTAATGAATTAGTAATAAAAGAGTAATTAAATATGGTACATAACAAGTTTGAGAAAAAAGTTTCGTGATGTGATTCTGCTAGGTTGATATAAACCTAGCACAGCCGTTGGCTTTTTCCATCAAATGATGAATATTGAATTCACGAATGCGGTAATAAATTAGTAAAGAATTATTGCACTATCCCGAATTCAAAATACACAAGTGATTCTGCTAGGTTTATCCCGGTTCATACAAGAGGAATATAAAAAGAATCTTTGGAATGGAAACAGAAGAACCATACACGTCAACTTCACTCACGTGATGTACCCATTTCCACGGAATTTTCATCAAGTACCAGAAAAAAGGATAAAAAATATGAAAGTAAAACGTAATAAAATGAAAATATAAACCAATAAGTAATCATATGAAAGTTGAATAAACAAATACTGGATACAGATATCACAATAATCAAACGGGTATTCAAATTCATCTTTTAATTTATCATTTATACATTTCATATGAAATAGCCGTTTGCAATAACAACACTCAATACTTTATGGGTGTCTGAACTGCTACATAATACGCACCCAGTTTTCATGTTCGAAGACCTTTCCCAGGGAAAAGATTGAAGCTCTGATCTGAAGCTATCAGGGTCACATTCCGAATTCAATGAGCCATTTTTCATAATAACCTTGAAAAAATTTATGATATGAATATCACAGTTATAGCTGTCTCTTTGCTTGACATGGTCAGTGGAATAATATTCCATTCAGATGCATGCAAGAGTAAGTAGGCAATGTAGACAAGTACTCTAGAAAACTATTGAAGGTTCTTCTCTGGTTTTTATGTTCACTTTGAGGATCCAAGAAATGAAAATGTTTTCTCTCCAAATCAATATAGATGATATACCAATTGTTTCCGTTAACATGAACTGGCATCACTATTTTAATTTTCTTTAATACTAAATCAGTCAGATCGTGTTAACTGATATTTCGACCAAATACTCTCATACTCATATGAGAATCAAATATTTGATAGCCAGACTGTATATCATTCATCAGATGCAAAGAAATGTCAATAACAAAATTGCAAAGCCACTGTCTTCTATTCAAAGTGAAAAAATCATCAGATCATAGTTCTCTCATCACCTACTCTATGTCATGGAAAACTGTAATTATATATGGTATTGTGTTATTCTTATAATATATGAGATTTCTAGCTAAACCATTTTCATATAGTTGTAAAGGAATATCAGTTTTAAAATATCTCATATTTCTTCTCACGATTCGAGATTTATCTTTACTTTTACTAACAATTTCTGGTAACAAATAATTGAAAAAGAAATGTATCAACTTTGTATCACTAGATTTATTGAACCTAGGCTTTACATTGAAGATGCATATGTTATTTACTGATTTGAGATTTCTTCTGATAAGATGATTATACATTCCTCTGACCAATGTTTTATTAACCCAAACAACTTGCAATTCTTTATGGGTGATTGAGAAAGATCCCTCGAATACATCACATTCTTCATAGCTGGGTCTCTTCCATTTATCCGATTTTACATTTTTAGATCCTTGCGGCAAAATCTTAGTCATATCAGGGCTCATATCATTGTGCTGAAGCACTCTAGGTATTTTCTCTGTTTCATCGGAAACATTTTTGAATAATTCTGAGCTTGTTTCCTTAACCTTACATTGGTCTTCAAAAGTATATGATCTTTTTTTGTCAGTTCTTGGCATTTTCTTGACTCGAGTTCCCGATTCGATGTGATTATGGTAAAGGGAATCAGTATCAATATTGTATTTCTCGTCTGAAACGTTTTTTAAGAATGGTAAACTTGATGTATATATTTTTTCCGAAGAATCAGGAACGTCTGAATATCTTGCATCATATATTTGATTCTCATCAAAAAATTCTCTTGTGTTATCACTTTTATTAGTATTGTCCGAGTCGCTTGAAAGAATTTCATTGGTATCGATACTAACATCAACTCATAAGTTTTTTCACTGGTGAAACCGATGATATATCGGAAGAGAATTCTTTGTATTCGAAAATATCGTTCATTGGTGTTGAAGATCTTACTTTGATTATCTCATTTCTGTGACGATTGAAATAAAATTTCAATTTTCATCTGTTTTTGGCACAGTTCTTCTCACCAATGTACATACATAATTTGGAATAACTTCCTACTTTAGGGTAATAAGAATCTACTAAATTGATATTCATTTCGTAAAAAGCTTTTCTCATCAGAATTGAAAAACAAAATTTTGATTCTACTACTTCCAGAAATTTTTTCATGATGCCTTTTATATAACTATAATTGAACGATCCGATAGATACTACACCTAGTCTGCTTCGAATCTTTCTTTCCTGTATATTTTGCTAATTGTCCAAAGATATCATCATTGTATTTCTTTAATTTAAAATCTTCAATTTCGACACCAATTTTCACTATTGACTCGCCTAGTAGTTTATATAGAGGAGCAGTAATATTATCAGTCATGTTAGCCACTGACTATTATAATGTATATGATATTATGATTAAATGTAAATATTGCGGAATTAATGAAAATAATATATCGTCAGTGGTTTATCCAATCATATTTTTCATAAAGAAGACTATGGGTAATGATATCACATGGAGAATTATTGACACAGCTTATTATTGTCTAGGTTTCTTGTTTCATCTTTGGAAACAGTGAATTTCCATACACATAAGCATCCTAATCCATGACAGGTAGCAGCACAACGTGACACCAGTAAATAAATAAATTGGAAATTATTAATACCATCTGCTTTTTTTGTTTTTTATTCTAAGAACTTTATTCAAACAATACAAAATATGATAATTTTTCAATCTTACATTTCTTGATTTACAAACAGCATCATTTAAACAAGAGACTCATTTCCAAATCGGCAAACACAGCGCCTGTCTCGCAACAAATTATATAGGTACTA